ATAACCACCGTATTAGGAGAAAGTGGAGATTCACCACTTCCAGCTCCAAGAAAACAAACATAAACGTCCTCTGAGAAGCACAGTCCTGCCCATATTTCAAGCATGTTCTGAGCATGCCTATGGGATCAGGATCTTCAGGGAATATGTCAGAAAGGAAAACCAAATAGGCCCCACCCTTAGGTGGGTGATAAGATGAAAATCGCTCAGACTGAGGCAGTTCCGTACATGCACAGCAGCAGAGCTCAGCATTAAAAGAGCTTTAGAATAATAGCAGAACACACCTACTGAGCCAGCTGTAGGCAACACCTGAAGAAAAGGCATTTTAGGTGGTAAACTGGGATATTGTCTCCTATGTCATCAGCCTTCATTGCAGATATCGTCTCTATTTCTGGTTGACTGGATAATGGATATACATTATATATACACCTTGTAATTTCCTTCATGTCAAGCAATGAGTAAGTTAGCTACCAATCAATCATTTAAGAGTTTATGCAGTAACACTGAGGAACTCTAGCAATGTTTTGCAGGGGTAGGTGGTAAGAGGAATCAATGAACAAACCTTGAAAGGGAACCATTTTATGCTTTGGTTGGAGGAGAGAGGGCAGGTGCTAAGCTGAGGTCCTGCCACAGGAGCAAGACATCAGTATAAAGGGGAGTTGTTCTTTTAATTTCTAAATTTTTTCAGTCAGATTCTACCAGAACCGTCTTATCCAGTTGTAACCCTAAATACAGAGCCTAAATGAAGAACAAAAGCAAAGATAAAAATTTAGGAGAGGGAATATAACCATATACACCTCCTTCATCATGGAATAAGGTTTGTTAAGCCAAGTTTATCCTTATTCTCAAAGCTTCATAATCTATTTTGGTCTGTATATTTGTTGCAGCTTCATTGACATTACTTATCCATACAAATAACCACCAAGTCAGCATTCTTCAAATACTTCAAATCCTTCAACATGTCTTCACTAAGGCCAAATCATGCCTGACAAATTCGGTGGCCTTCTATGATGCGGTTACAGTGTTGGTGGATAAGGGAAGAGCAACTGATGTCATCGACCTGGACGTGTACAAAGCATTTGGTACTGTCCTGCACGACATCCTTTTCTCTCAATGGGAGAGACATGGATTTGATGGGTGGACTACTCAGTGGGCAAGGAATTCACTGGATGTTCCCCCTCAAAGAGTTGTGGTCAATGGCTCGATGCCCAAGTGGAGACCAGTGATGACTGGCGCTCCTCAAGGGTTGGTATTGGGACTGGTGCTGTTTAACATCTTTGTCAGGGACATGGTTGGCGGGATTGAGTGCACCCTCAGCAAGTTTGCTAACACCACCAAACTTTGTGGTGTGGTTGACACACTGGATGGAAGGGATGTTATCCAGAGGGACCTGGACAGGCTGGAGAGGTGTGTCCAATGAAACCTTATGAAGTTTAACAATGTCAAGTGCAAGGCGCTGCACATGGGTTGGGGTAATCCCAAGGACAAATACAGGCTGGGAGGAGAATGTGTTGAGAGCAGTCCTGAGGAGAAGAACCTGGGAGTGTTGGTTAATGAGAAGCTCAACGTGACTCAGCAACGTGCTCTTGCAGCCCAGAAAGCCAACTGTATCCTGGGTTCCATAAAAAGAAGCATGGCCAGCAGGTTGAGGGAGGTGATTCTCCCACTCTGCTCTGCTTTTATGAGTGCTGTGTTCAGCTCTGGGGCTTCCAACATGAGAAGGACATGGACCTGTTGTAGCAAGTCCAGAGAAAGGCCATGAAGATGCTCCGAGGGCTGGAGCACCTCTGCTATGGGGACAGGCTGAGAGCTGTTTTCATAATGTTTTCATAACATTACAGTTATGAAAAATGTGATGAATAAGAATATAGTCTCCAGCAGACTGTTTAAGCACAAAGCCTATTCAAACCTCTTCATCTCTGTCATTTGTTTTCTGTTGAACAAGCTCTCATTGAACACATTTTATTCTCTTTCTATACCAGAGTTACAGCTGGGGCAATTTCCAAATATTTCTTATTAAGATCAGACTATCAGAGACCTCAGTCTTAGTGTGAACGCAAAGCAAAGTGGCTTGACAACCTCTCACCAGGTGTTATCCTGACCTATTGAAGTTTGTGAACCATGTTAGAACCTCATAAAGGTAAACCAGCTTAATCGTTAATAACCTTTATGAAATAGATAAAAAATGAATATTAAAACACAGACCAGCCTGTTGAATCAATTAGAGACAAAAAAATTTTATTAAAATGAGATTGCAAAATGACAGACTCAATAAATTACTATATCCAAATGAGTAGAATGTTAACTAAGTGCAACAAATAATAATTTTGATTTATGACACTGACATCAGTCTTGTATTTAGAGGACTTCAGAGGGACTCAGGATCTAGTCAGCACAGCTTTCAAGTCTCTCCGGGAAAAAAAGTAGGAACACTTAATATTTACATTGCTTTCACCAAGACACCCATTTAAAAGCATCTTCCTGTATTATCAAATAAAGCATGCAGTGAAATCCCTGCATTCATCGCATAAATACTTATAAAATGTTACTACTCTTGCACATAATTGTGCATATCACCATTCAAACCAACCTTGGATTTGGGAACACAGAATTGGTTTAGGTACTAGTTAGAAGGGATTTTCAAATTAAATTCAAAGCAGTTTTTAATAACTACTTTTAAAATCAGGATTCTTTTCAGTGACACCTGTCACCTATTATTAGGAAATAACCAGAACAGCATTACTAGTACCTGCACCTACACACACACAAATATATAAATAAAAAAACCCGAATGGAGTTGTTCTTAAAAAACAAAGGCAAAAATAAAAAGTCCAAACTCCTTCTGTTTTGTGTGTTGGGCTTGATATTATTTATTACCTAGAAGGCGGCAGTTGTTGTCTGTAGCTTGTCATACATGTAAGTTGCTCATCAGTGGGTTGCAGATGGGTCATGCTGTTCATGGTGGTATCTCACTTTTAGATCTTTCACATTTTCCTCCTTTGGGCAGTTTGTCCACTGAAAGCTGAGGCATAGAGTTCTGGATGTGAATGGCAGAGGAGAAGAACCACTTTTCTTCCACATGGTCTCTGCTTTTATGGGCAAATTGTCTACTTATTGGCCATTACAGACCACCTTAATGGGTTTAGGTCAGTTAGGTGAATACAGTACAATACAGGTTTTGGCAGTATGGCTCAACTGTTTCATAATGAACTATATTCACTATAAATTATATTAGAAAATGCCATCATTGAATCATCATTCCTTTGCAGAATCAGCAAGATCAGTCAGAGATCATATAACAAGTATTGACCTTCTATCTAAAAATCATGAAGAGGAGCTTTATTGATATTCTTATTATTTCTCATTTTTCCTGTATTCTCGTTTTCCTAAATAACCATGTTATTGCCACTCAGCTTTTTTTCCCCTTCTTTTATTCCTGCTATTAACTGATACCCACATATCTCCGTGTTCTTTCATACACCCTGTATTTCTTTTGTTTGTTATTCAATGCTCATGTCTGCGTACTTGCAGTGTACTTTTCCCATAAATTTTAAAGCACTTTCAGTGAAAATACTCTGCTGTGGGCTTACTCTTAGCTTCTTCATTTCACAGGCTCTCTCAAAAACCAGAAGTGTTCTTGGAGAGCTACTGTGCCTCTACACAGGCGGTCATTACACTTTCCACTAGCAGAAACTGTCCTTGACCATAAGCACAAAGGGTCTAGGTCCTTCTTGGGATGAAAGAGCTAAGTGTCAGGTACAAAACCGGTAAGAGAGAGTTCCAGGAAAGGAGCTGGTTCTTGGGGATGCTGAAAGAGAAGAAAAGTTTCCAAGGTCCAAAGAGACCTGCATGTGATGACAGAAATAGCTATGACTTAATTCCATTTCTGGACAGAGCCACAAATGTAGTTAGCTGCCTACTAACCAACTCAGATGTCCACAGGTCCTTGGAATCACTGTGAAGTAAGCATTTAGATAAAAATTAATATATATATAAAAGTCAATAAACCCAGGATTACCTTAAATATCCTTGCAATCTGGACCTACTCCTCAGTGCCTAGGCTTGTCAGTCTTATTCAAAGCTGGTCTACATCAGAATGCTAACCAGGCACCACAGTCACCACCCAAAATACATACATGTATTTATGCTATAAATAATACATGCTATACAGACTCTTTGGAGTGTATTCAAACCAGCTATTTCAGGTGTAAAACTCAGCATCTAGCTATCTGATTGACTGTGCAATCCATGAACAGTACTATTCATAACACCTAAGCCGTTAGGTGTAGGCCTTGTAGCCGTTAGGCCAAGTAGTGTGCATATGCTCAATAGTGATGGGGACATAGCCCAGGCCATCTTCTTCTTGGCATATTTATTTTATCTATTCTAGAATATCTCTTAAAACTCACCCCTTTCCTAATGTGCCCTGACTTCCCTCATTTTCACTCATCCACTGAGAAAAAAACTAAGGAGACCTTATTGTAGCCTTTCAATATTGAAAGAGGGCTTACAAGAAAGATGGAGAGAGATTTTTTACCAGGACTTGTAGTGACAGGACGAGGGGCAACGGTTTAAAACTGAAAGAGGGTAGATTTAGATTAAAGGAAGACATTCTTTCCTGTGAGGGTGGTGAGACAAATCCGTGTATGACTCTATGACTCTCTGAAGAATTTCCTTTCAAACTTTTTCCATAAGCAATGAGCTGGCTCTTCCAATCAAGTAAACTGTTCAAGCTAATTCAAGAGCTACTTCTCCTCAGTTGAAAGACCCAGTTCTTCATGGCTCTACATGACGAGTTTAAGAGAAGGAAAATAATGGTTCATGGTTTGAAACAAGAGAAAATGTTTCTTTGACCAACTTTCCCACCCATTCTTTCTGAAATTAGCTTTGCCCTGTTCCCAGTTTTCTATGCCAGAGAGACATACACACACACACACACTGTCTGCAGTGACTCTTTGCAGCAGTTGTCTGGTGAAGATGTTCCCTTTGAGAGCTGCCTGTTTCTATCCATGCAGATACGCTTCAAGCCAGTGCTCCCCAGAATCCTTCAGTGAACTGCAAGAACAGAAAGTAAAAAATCACTTATGGGGAGACAATATTCAACTTTATGGGATGCAAACTGTAGTTTAGATGTAAGAAGTAAATGGAAAAAATTGATTAAAAACTGCATGGACATCTCATGCTGGCTACAGGGAATGAGCTCTGAGGATTTAAGGAAGAGAAAAAAAGTCTTTGAGACTTTGAAAATGTTTGAAAATCAAGTGCCTTTAGAAAAACCTGAATAAACTCTATGTCTGATCTCTCCATGGATGTTGATTTGAAATGGTTGTCTATGTTCCTCACTTGCATGCTCTTACAGTGCAAAACTATTTTGTTAATTGATACTTACTGCAAAATATCTACAAAAGCTGTCAGTAAAGTCTTGCTTTTATACTCAATGCCATGGTTATCGCAAAGGGCTTTCACCAGAGGAGCTGCTTTCCAGTAGTTGTGTCGAGGCATTGTGGGGAAAAGGCTGCAGAATTGAATGAGATTTATTATAAGGCTATGCTTGCACCACTCCCTGTTCCCTCTGTTCAAAATATTTTCCTGCTCTCCCCCAGGAGACCAAAGGATCTCCTAAGATAGTTTCATGTGAGACTACATGGCCTTTCTCCCTTTTAAGCGCCCCATATTATTCCCATTCTTCTCCCCATAATGATACTCACTGGTGCTCAATTTGGAAGTTCAAGTGCCCGGTGAACCAGTCATTGAACAAAGATTGATTCACATTGCATGTTGCGTGGAGCTGGGAGAATGGGTCAAACAAATACATGATTTAGTTTTTATTTTTCTGCAACTCTAATAATTGAACCCCAGCAATCATTACCCATTTTTTCTACCATAAAAGAAAACAGTGTCAGGGATTATAAGTATCATTGCCCTGAAGAATTAAACGAAGCCTAGATTGAAATGGGTTGTTGGGATATAGGTTTGTTTATCTAGCTCTTCATACAGAAAGAACAACTTTTTCACTAGCATGCACACAACTCCAACTTTGATTCTTTTAAGAGGTTCTCCTCAAATCTTTCACTTGAATGGAAAGAAAAATGCCCAGTAAAGAAACAAAAAAGCATCCTCTTCCATCCTCTTCAAACTAGTACAAGTGGAGTCAGATGCAAAATTATGAGGATGAATATTTGTGTATACGGACTTTATCTCACCTCAATTAGACATCTTTAGTGTCAAATCTGCACCTGAGCACATCACTTTAGAGTCAATGGAGAAAACCAGAAATTTTTATGGTGCGATTCATCTGATTTGACTTAGATGTCTATTTTAGAGTAAGATGAATCATGCTCTAGAAATGGCTCTTTCTCTTCAATAAATGTAGCAGGTGTTCAGATGTGGACATCCAGATTTGGTCAGATAAATATCAAGATGGATCTTTACCCTTTAATATAAGGAAAAATGCTTAGAAGCTACAACGTGGGATTATACTGCTAGAGGCAGTATAGATGTGAATAAAGTTGTATTTACATATTCATTTTTATCAGACCTAAATTTTGTCAGATCTATCTTATCTGCAGTAAAACTGTAACCTCTAGGGTAAACAATAAAGGGTAAAGTCCCACTTTGCTTCTCTTTAGTCAGTCTAAAAAAGAGATTGACTGTTACACCATCAGTACATTTTTATAAAGAAGTTTTTATAAAAAAATTTTTCCCTCCGGGAACGGAAAAGCGTTGTGAAAAATATGTCAAAACATTTCAGTGAAAACATACATCTTTTTTTAACCTAGGCTCCCATTTTCCAACTAAGGTTTTAAATGTTTTGAGTGCTACAGAAATGCACGCCTATTTAATGAATGCCAAGGACAAACCTCATTAACACAACATGAAAGCTAAGAGAATAACAACATTGTCTTTGTCCTGTTATTCAGAACTGCAGACCCACTCTTCCAGAAGAAAGGATCTTCTCACCTGAGTAGATACCCAGTCTTTGTTCTTATCATAATCAATATCCATGGGAATGTGATTCATCTGTGACACCCAAATAAACCAGGTACTCTCCAAGTACCTGGGCAGATAAACACAGAAACACGTCACATCTCTAATCCCATCCAAATTTACCATTAAAACACCTTCCTGAATCTCATCTTCGTAAAAGAACATTTTAATGTAATTCAGGATTTTCTATTCCATCCCTTTGCCTCCCAACTTTTGGAGTTTCTTTTAAGAACCACTCAATTGCTAGTTGCAGATGCCCGTGGGCAGCCACCATCACCACCCTGAGGTCCTACTGTTTCTTGGCTGACTCTTTATTACTGAAGAAATTGTAGAGAGTATGACTAGTTTTCCTTTATTCCATTGAAGCTTAATATGGTTTACAAATATTAGTCATGGGGACTCTGGGTATGCTGTGTGTTACCTGGAGAGCCAATAGTAGACCATGAAATTGTTAAATCCCATTACAGGAATATACATGAGACAGACTCGGATGTTGAAAGACACAATCAGTAGCAGGTCCTGTAAAAAACCCCAAAACAAAACAACAAAAAGAGATGAAAATAAGCCCTTGTTGATGACTTCCCTCCAGTCCCTCCTTTCCCTCCCCTCCTCTTTACTTGAACTGCAGCATAAAAAATGTTCTTATTTATCGAGTAAGCTCCATACTATCATTCTGCCTCAAACTGAGCGTATCCCTGAAATATTCCCATAATTGTCACTTCACCATCAGTAACTGAAGACCAACAAACAGCCTGTAATCACACTCTGTCTAGGTTTGAGAATTTTCTGTTAACATTTATTCAGCTGCCAAGAGACTAAAAAGCCTCTTCTAAAAATTTCTCCCTGGACCCGTTGACTGCATTCCGGCTGCAGCAAGCCTAGAATCAGTCTTTTCTATCTTAAACCCCACAGTCACCTCTTGTGAAGGTTAATATTGCCACAGAGTGGTGACATTTTTTGAAATTTTCCTAGGCAAGGCAAGTAGTGCTTACCAACCATTTTTTCCTCTTCACTGCAAAGTAGAATATAGACAGCTGGAAGAAGGGTACCAGTGCAAGTGGGGCCAATACTGAATGGAAGAAGGAAAACAGATACACATTTATAACTTTGCTGCATAATGAATCTTACAGAATATTGGGGAGACAAGGATAAGGACAGTTCCCTTAAAAGTTTATTCTTTGCAGTGGAATAAAAATACTTCTGTCTTCCATTTACACTAATTTTTCATGTGTTCACATAATCTGTTCCTCTTTTCATCTCACCACTTCTTCATTTCTTTCCCATCCCTTTCTTCCTCACACTTGATTCCTCACCCATCTAGTACCCAACATCACATAATCCTAACAGAAACATAAGGGGCAATTCCTCCTCATGTGAACTGTCTCTAACATGAAGGAAGCTTCCTGAAGCTATCACTTCAATGGGAGTATCTTTAAAACCTTTACTTTTGGGAGGAGTGAAGTTCTTACCGTACTGCAAGGAAGCGGGGATACTCACAGATAAAATACTTATGCTGATAATTGTAAGGCATAAACTTCTTCTTCTTTTTTCCAAGCTGAAAAATTAAAAGACATTGTAATGGGCTAGTTGGAGACCTGAGACCTTTCATAAACGCATTGGCTTTAGTCAGGACAGAGTTAAGTTTCTTCACAGTGGCTGATATGAAGCTATGTTTTTAGATTTGCCCTGAGAATAGTACTGATAAGGTGTTGTTTTAGCTGGTGCTAAGTGTTTGCACTACTTCAAGGACTTTTCCAGCTTCTGATACTGCACCTGTGTTCCCAATTTTCTTATTACAAGCAGTGTTGAGTGGGAGGACACAGTTCAGACAGCCAACCCAAACTAACCAAAGGAGTATTTCATTCACGTCATGCTCAGTACATAAGCTGGGAGTGGGCTGCGGGGCTATATCTCCTTTGTTTGATCACTTTTTAGCTTGCTTGTCTGTTAGCTGGCTAGCTTGCTCCTTTGTTAGTGCGTTGGTGGGTCGGTTGGTTTTACCGGTTTTGCAGTCACTCAGGCTCTGCTGTGATCACTCTCACTCTTGGACTCTGGCTCTGATTCTTGCTACTCAGGACTTGGCTTTGTATTGGTTGGTGTGTGGTGAGCAGTTGTATCATATGTTCTATTTTCTACTATTCTAATTATTAGAAGTAGTATTGTTAATATGATTAGTATCACTATAACATATTCAATTATCAAATAGTTCTTATCTGAATTTTAGAAGCTTCCTTGTCCTTTCCTCCACCTCTCCTCTTCCACTGGAGGAAGGGGAGATGAGGTGAGCAAGCAGATGCGTGGTAATTAATTGCTAGCCAGACCACTCTAGATGCTCATTCTAATATATAGCTATGGGAGATCTTTCAGAAAATCACTGACAAAGATCTCTCAGTTGCAGCTAACAGTTTTCTACTAATAAGTATTTTGCATAAACTCTCTTTACAGGAGTCTTTCTGAGACAGCAGAGCTGGAATTTCCCATGTGCCTTGAAGAGCTGTAATTTTTTTGCTTATTACCAGCTAAAGGAGAGTGAGACCTTATTTTAAGAGGCTGGTTATCTAGCAAAGAGGCCATTTCATCACCCCATGAGTAAACAGAGCTGCCAGGGAAAGAAAAGGCAAAAGAGACCTCGCCTATCCTGATGATATCAGAAATCATAAGGATGCAAGGAGGGTCTGTTCATGGTTTTTATTTTTATAAAAGCCTTAAAATTTGTGATTAAGAAATAATTTGCTACGCTTGTGTTTTGCGCATAGCAGCTATACTGGTCTTGAAGGATTTAGGTGTCAAACAGCTCCCACAGTCAAAAGGACCCAGAGGGAACATCTGACTCAATATCTACAGGATCACTGAGAAGATCTAACACTAAATGGACTGACTCATTCTTTCAATTGCCTTCAAGGTGCTTACGCTGCTCTTCTATCAACACTGAGAACTTAAGCATTGATTTTAAGACTTTGCTTCTCAGGAGCTGGTGCGTAAGCATCATAATAAACAGACAGTACATGAGACCCAAACCTTGGAACACTTTGGAAATTACCATGAGTTCATGCAGAAGGATGTAATCTGGGTTATAATTATACCTCACCCTACAGCTTTCTGTCTTTAAAATCTTTCATTGCAACAGCTCTTAGTTTCTCCAGACATCCCCATGCTCACCTCTATGGAGAGTGTCTTTCCCAAGCTGAAGAGGAGAGGGTGCATGTTGAGGTCAGGGTCTTTGCGGAAGCAGTTGGGTTTGGCATGGTGCTGGTTGTGCAGGTGATTCCACCAGCTGGCAGATAACCCCTGCAGTAAAAGTTAAAAGACCAGGGATTTAAACTCGACCAATATCAACAATTACATCACTATTTATCCCCCCATTATTGACAGCTGCACCACACTTCCCTCACAGGCGATACTGGCTCTATTTAGGGACACTCCCATTCATTGCTCAGTCCAGATTAGCCACAGAGAATATTCCCACAATAAAGGTATTACCTTCAGAAGATTTATCACAACAACCTGCAGAAGTCGATTCCATTTAGGCTTCCTGAAGACAGAGCAGTGCCCTAGATCATGCTGGAACCAGCCCATCTGGATCTGAAAGACAGAAGGATCACTAGGGAAACAGAATCACAGCGGTGTTGCATGAATTTACCTTGGGAGTCTCTGTAACTTCCCAGTGTGAGTACATCTTCCTTCTGGTTTGGGGAAGAAACACTACCTACTCTCTTACATGCTCAGTGCTGAGAACTTCCTTCCAGGCTACTGTCCACTAAAGCTGCTCAATACCAGATATCGATTTTATTGTAGCAGTTAAAGGGAAAGTGGCAAAGCATTGTTACAATTAATTTGACTGTTACAGCATAGAAGTCTTTTGCTTCCATAACAAATAAATAATGTCCAAGTAACCAGCTAGAAAGCACAAGAATTTCCAAATCTATAGCCTCATTGCATTTCATAGTCCCATGGAAATACAAGAATGCTCTTTGAGGAGTATCTGCCTTAGCAGATATCAGGAAAACAGAACAGAATATTTAAAAAAGAAATTTCTTTGCATTTGTTCCATGGATGTCTGAGCAAACCTAAGTTTTCAATGCCACTAAGAAAATCTTTCTTTCTTCCTCCCCTCATGCTCCATTTTCTCCCATCTAAGGATCAGAAATTCCTCTTCCCTCCTTCCCTCCACTGACCCTGACATGTATCGTGCCCTTCTATGATTCAGTTTACTAATCCAGCAGAAAACTCTTCAGGTCTAGTGACTGTAATTGGCTCATAAAGTACCCAACAAAGACCAGAGCCACCAGTCAGTAAACAGAAAGAACGTGGAGCCAAAAGTGTTGCTGAGAATGAAATATTCCCTCTTTTGCTGGGGTAGGTGAATAGATCACTCATCCCATCTAGTGAAACTGCCAGCTCCACAACACTCCACTAATCTTAGTGAGCAGCTTGTCAGCAAAACTAGATTTGCTGGAGGCAACAAAAATTGTGGTGTAGGACGTGCTTGTTGTCTTCAACCAGATTACAGGATCTAAGAAGAGGCAGTCAAGCAATGGCATTTCATTAATCCTCTCCAGCAGGAAGAACCAAACACGTCTGTAGCGTTGAACAGTTGTCAGCAGTTTACCTGAGCAATGGTGAAGAACACAATGCCAACCAAAAAAGGCACTAAGGATATCCCAAAGTACCAGACCACGAGCCAGGACGCAGCATCCAGTACCAGGAGGTGAAGGAAAATCAAGAAGAAAAAGGTGTAATTTGGCCTCAGAAGTCCCATCTTCTCAACAGTGCAGCGCAGCTCACGAAAATCCTCTAAAAGCGATTTCTGTGGGTAAAGTGGGTATTAATGCACTACTTCGGAAAGGTAACAGACCCAGGAACCCTAAAGTACCATAGAAGTCAGAGGAGATATTCTATTAGAGTGGTCTATGCAAAATGAGCAGATCAACAGATCTTGGTTTTGCTTTGACACTGGAAAACAAGTTGCTGACAGGCTCTGTGACTGAGACATCACAGTGGGAAGAACTGAGCAGAATCTGGGGCTCTGGGGCACATTCCTCACACCCAAGTGTGAATTTAGTGATTCTGGGACAGTGCATGTTTCCATGCATGACTACTGCCAGCTGCCTCCCCCACCACTCAGCCTGCGGCACAGTGTCAGGCACGCCACTGCAGAAATTATTTCTGCTAGCTCTCTTTTTTTCCCTCTCCTCCCACATTAAACCCATAAGCCGTTCCCACAGATGGAACCTAGGACACTCACTTTTTTATTAGACTCAAAGCTGGGTTGATCTGGTGCCAACTCCCCAATCAGCAGAGATTTCAAGTATTTTTTCACCAGAGACTTATCATTGTGAAATGCTACAAAGGCATCCTGAGAAACACACAAAGGAAGGGGGTAAGAAAAGGTATGTGACTAAACATCAGATACTCGGCCTCCTCTTTTTCCAGGTCTTTGATATAATATATAATCCAATTTCCTTTGTCCATTTTTGTCCCTTTTGTTGCTCCTGTAGTTCTCTGTCACCAGCTGGAGCTTGGCCCAAGGAAGCTGGAGAAGTTTCAAGAACTTAGATTTCATAAAAGTACCTGGGCGAGGCTGGTAATAAACATGAAAGTGTTTGATTAAGAACTCTTGGCAGAGGGAAATAGACTCTTTCATGTGCTTGTTCCCTAGAAGGCTCCAGCCAGAAGCCCTGCCCTATGGATGGGACCCAGGAGCAGGAAAACAATTCAATGAATGAGGATCTCTTTGCCACGCTTAGGAGAAAACAATGGTGTTTTTTAAATCCTGCCTTTATTACACTTGGGACATAGGAAATATATTCTGAAGCTCCACACATAGCGGGGCTATGTGGGTATCTTTTACAGTGCCCTGTAAGTTTTCAGACTGGCTGATGTTTTGGGGAACAGGGTGACACTAGTGACACAAATGGGGCTGTCCAAGAACCATTTGAAATACCAGTTTCAAAATCAGATATAAACTATGGGATAAAGTCTGAAATTCCAGATAATTTTTATGTAGCTCCTTCTTGCCAGGAATTCTAAAACTGAGTTAAGCTCTAAGTGTCTATATTTCAGCTTAGAAACAGAAACCAGAATTTCTTGAAACAGAATTTCCTATCCACAATACCACTATGAGATTCTTAGCACAGAAACACAGTCCTGCATCCTGTCCTTTCTCCTCCCTGCTCTTAGGCTCTGATTGTCATATTATGAGAGACTAACTTTAAGGACTATCATCTGCAACACACTTAACCTCCAACATTTGACATCACCGTAATGTTCACCAGTGCATACTGTCTATATTTACAAAGTAATCCACACAGAGGAAGAAAGTTCTCACCATATATAGAGAGAATTATGAGCTCTAGAAGAAGATAATTCTCACCATATATGTACAATTATTAGTTCTAGAGTAGTCAAGAGTACTTGGCAAAAAATCCTGGATCCTGGCTTTAGGCAAAGTCATATACCGGACGATCTTCTGAGACATCTTCCAGTCCTGCTTTTCTGTCAAAGTGTGTATTTCTCAGAATGTATGAACAATACAGCATTTTAAAAGCAAAAAGAATGATAAAGATTAGCAGAATAAAAATCAAGAGCAAGTCACGAGAATGTTGTTATAAACCCACAGTGTACCCACAATCTCGACTATTGCATGTAGTTCTGGTCCTGTCCTCAGAGAGATGGAGTACACCTATACATAGCAAAACAGATGAACAGAGTTTTGGAACAGCTTTCATACTAGAAGACTGACTTGGAAAAGAGGGAACACGTGAAAGAGTTTTAAAATCCCCTAAGAAAATGATAGAAAATTTATTCATTGTTTTCATAATACAATAATGAAATTATCAGGAAGCAGGTTTAAAATGTACAAAAGTAATAACGAGGAAAATCAGATTATAATATTATTGTAATAATTAATGCAAGTGAAATCAAAGGTCATTCTTTGAACTCATTTGTACCAGACAAATTCACTGTGGTTTCAACCCCTGGGTGTCTATAAAGCGTAATAATCTAAATGCAAGTCCTTACACTGGTGGCTGCAGAGCTGGGAGGTCATAGCCTGGGGACAAATCATCCCATGCCTTATGGATTCCTTGACTCCCTTTGTAAAAGTCCAGTAATAGAAACTGCAGGAGATGGCACCAGGCTACAGGGAATCTCTGGGCTGGTTTGGTATGACTGGTCTGAAAGTTCTTAGAAGGGGCAGCCTCTATGTTTTTCTGTATTGCTGCAGTAAGTTCATCACAGAGTGGCACAAAACATCATCTGAAAGGGGCTGTAATGACTTAAAATTGGCATGTTCTTCTTGAAGCAAAACCACAGTTTTCACTAAAAAAAGACGACTTTTATCATACTTAAATCCTCTTTAGAGAAGACGAAAGTGAATTAGCACAGACAGGCTTACTGGTATGGAATTACTGGAAAAGTCGGTGAGAGCTGGCATTGGTTGGTGGGCAGGATTAGTGTCCCTTCTGCAGTGAGCTTTTGGTGCAGCACTGTTACGCAGGTGCTGCATAATGGACACAAAACTCTGTCTTTAAAACAGGGCTGTATATGCCGGTCAGTGAGCTGAAGGAGAAAAACAGCAAGACTTAGAAGCCTGGTTTTCCTTCATTTGAGAACACTAGGTATATTTTCTGCCTCAGTTCCACGTGAGGTGAAAGGAATGAAATGTGAAAAATAACTGATCAGATCCCTTCTGGGCCATGAGTTAGGAAGTGCTATCCCATTTTACAAACTAAAACCTAAGGAATAAGACAGTCTAAGCATCTTCCTTGAAGTCAGAAAGTCTTCTTGTGACAAGTATTAAATCTGTGTCCACCACATCACAACCTTATGCCCTAATCCTGGTCATGTGTATATCTAATGTGTATATTTCTGACTATTCAGAAATTCAGTATCTATTTTCAGCAAATAGTCTGTGAAATATGCTTAGAATTTATTTCTTCTGTCAACAAGCAGTGAATTATTTTAGAAAAATCATTTAAATCAAACAATTTTGCAGGAATCTCTGGAAAATCTATTTTCAAATAGTGATTATTTGTAGAATTTTCCCTCATCTTCTGCAGCCAAATGTCATTCTACTGCTTTCTCAGTAATTTTTCCTGTACTTTATTTCTTTCTCCCCTCCTTTGTAATAGCCTTTTTGCTCAAGACTCTTTTCTCCTCCACTTCCCTGTACAGAATAGTGCCACTTCCTTGAGTATCACCTTCTTTTTCTTCACTGCTCCAAAATTACTTTATGTTGGGATATTAGTTCCTCCTTTTCTTTTTATCTATCTATCTATCTATCTATCTATCTGTCTATCTATCTATCTATCTATCTATCTATCTATCTATCTATCTACCTACCTACCTACCTACCTACCTACCTACCTACCTACCCACGCACCCACCCACCCACCCATGCTCTATGTTTAATTATCATTTGCTTGTCACTGATCGCATCCATGTGACACTGAAAGAGCAGCATTTAAAGTAAAAATACATACTGAGTATAGTGCTTCCTACTCTCTTCCCTTTCTCACTGCTACAACAGAGACACTTTTCAAACATCTGGAAGACAGTTTGACTGATCATGCCTGGTGGCAAAACAAGCTGCAAGGATATTGCTTCATTTACAGCAGGGTGTAATGAACCTAAACAGAGCTTTACAACGTGCATAGAAGGTAACTTTGACCTTGAAGCTAACGAGAAGGGCATTTTTACAGATAGTACAGACATCACGGCGTTATCTGACCAAGCACAGTGACAACTACCGCTGCAGACCCACCATGTCAACCTGCCCGGACAATAGAGGTACCTTCCTCCACTGCCCTCCTAGATCTTACCGTAGCATCTTGCCCAGCATAGTGGCTAATAACTCGGCTCCCTCCAGGGTGTTGTTTGGAAAACTTGCTGACATCATACACCCTCCTGTCAATCACCAGCCATTTCTCCTGACCTTCTCCATGACCATTGTTGATTCTGATCTCCTCCCAAGTGAAAAGCTGTCGAAAGGCTGAAACAGGTCGCGTCTCCTTTGCAGTGGAGCCAGTCTGTGGAGCCATCTGTACCCGTAAACGCTCTGTCACCACTGAGATTCACGAGTCTAAGCTTTGCAGCACTCTGCCCGGGCAGAAGGTGAACCATCTCAGCCTGCCCGTTATACAGCCCCACTCCAAGCCACTCCCTGTGCTTCTAGGTAGGGCTGGTTGGCTGTACTTGCCCAAACACACCCTTCTAAAGCTCCTTCCTCTTCTACCTTCACACCAGACACTTCGACACACCCTTGAATAAAAGCCCTGTACTTCTTGTCCTTTCCGAGCTGCCTTTGGAAGGTCTGATTACTCATGAGGGCTGCAGACTAGTTCACTGAATACAAATGTGCATAAAGAGAAAGACTTAGGAAGGCTCTCTGTTACTCAGTTAAATGAGATGGCAAAATGACAGAAAGAACTATTAAGTGAGCACCTTCACAGAACCTTAGGAACTGGTTAAGGTAAGCTGTTAACTTGATTCCATGCTGCTGAGTCAATATGGGGGTTAGCCAGGAGAGAAATCTGAGGAAGGCTGTGGGCAGCTCTTCTGCAGCAAATACTCAATAGCTTTAGAAAACTGAAGCACTGTCAGTGTCCTGTAATCTCTTAATCAGGCGTTAAGGTCAGGAAATCCTGCAATTACCATACATTGGAACTTCATAATGTCATGCAGCGCCAAAATGTAAAGCTGTAAAGGAGCCTGTGTGGAGAGCCAAAATCTGCTATTAAGTACGTATGGTAACATCCCTCATTCAGCTGTAATTCCTGCCGTTAAGGAATGAAGCCAACTTGGACACTGGCATAGCGAAAACACAAGACTGCTCCAAGGTCTGCAATCTCTCCACAAGGTCTCCCTTAACACCCAAACACTACTCAAACACTTCAGGCTCTCCTTGGGCTTTGAAATTTTCCATGTTGACCCTGACACGTTAAATTCATGCATCCTTCTTAATTAAAAGCATTATTAATCAAAATACCACCAGATTGGAGTAAAGAAAGAACACATTAAGAAAACATTATTTATCTCCAATTAATTTAGCTTGCACATCGACAGTATTTTGCATACAGTTTTCAGTTCCCTGTCTATGTATACTCCAGTCATTCAATCATCTTATTGTTCAAGTAATTTATTCATAAGTCAAAAGCAGACATTAAAAGATTTTGGGGATAATAATAATAATAACAACAGTAATAAGAAACATCTGTTAACACCAAGTTTGGCTGTAGATTAGGTGTTTCTAAAACTATGTTTAAAGGCACTGTTCACATCATTAACCTGGCCAGCAGAGCCAAAGTCTAAATAGCTGTGATGTTCAGAGAGGATCTGCTATGCAGTAGGGTGGTAAGAGTTGTCAGTTGTAATAAGTAGCAAAGAGAAGGCAATACCAAATTTCCTGTGAAGTCACATCAATTTTGCAGGTGACTCAGAAAAAAATAAGCCCATATATATGAAATATTGCCCAACTTGAGATCTAGGATTTTCTTAAGCTTTTAATTTTTTTTTTTTTTTTTTTAAATCCAAAATTACTAGCCTTGGATGCTTTTGAGGAAGGCACAAGCAGTATGCAGATATGGCATAGTCTGTCCTCACTAGATTTCCATTCTATCCTTTTATAATGCAATACTGACTTAAATCAGGACTCGTGAGTTTTCCAGCTTACGCCAAACTTTGTATGTTCATAAATTTATTATGTTTATAACCACAGATAGCATCTACAATGGTGCCTGGTCCCTGCCTGAAACCTAACAAGTCCTAGGTCTCCACCATCTCTTGAGACAGTGAGTTTCACAGACAATTCACGTATCGCTATTTGAAGAAGAGTGGTTGCTGCGATGAGCTACCCATTCTGAGAAGGACTGATAAACTCAGCTGAGGTAGCAGACTTCAGGAAGGACAGAAAGATAAGAAAGCCAAATTACGTTCTTGATTAAAGTACCTCAGCAGGGTGAGGTGAGATTACGGCTGCATTTCCTGTCTCCCAAGCAGATAGCATGCAGGAAGCCTAGGCAAGAGCTGATGAAGGCAGAGATGATCTGGTAGTCCTCTGCATCAGGAGAAAGGTACCATTTGATTTATATGGAACAACTTTATTTTTAAGAGTTTACAGAATATTGGTGCTATACATGATGATGAAGCTTCTCAGTTTACAGTTATTTTTCTTAGCACGCTGTGCAAGTCAGACTGCAAACACAGTGGAAAATGTCAAGTCTTGGGTTTTTGTCTTCCTTGTGTTTCCCAGCGAGTTAACAGCAGCCCAAGAACAACTGGGCTAGAGTGGATAGAGGCAACTGAAATCTCACATAGCAGAGACACCTGCCTTGCCCTCAGTCCTGCATGGGGTGGGCAGTTTTCTGGCTGACACAGAACTGTAAATTATGCAATTGTAATTCTTTAAATCATGTAGCATCTTGCAAATTAATCAGTCAAGCCCAAAACAACTGTTTAACGTTTCCTGACATGTAGCAATGATTGAATCACTCTAGGTGAAAGAGAAATGTGACTACTGGTATTCATTAGAAGGCAGTGATAAAAGAATGGGAGGAATAATTTCTACTGTGCTGTCACACTGTATTTTGTAACCCTGTATCTTGCTCTAAATAAGAGTGTCCACACTCACGATGTGTTCATGTTCTAGCATGGAATATGTGTAGGGTCTTACATAAATCATGTTCAGTACTCGAGGTAGTGGCAATAAAATATACGATAGTTGTTGTAAATTTCTGCATATGTGTTTTTTCTTTAATATACATACAAAAATTTTCAAATCACTTGATTGCTGTCTGAAATTACAAAAACATCCCATTGCCCTGTATTCAGACTTGTAAATGTAGCAGCTACCTGAAAAGGAGTAGATTAAAATGTGGGCTTAGATTCTGGTCTACAAGGAGCTGGAGAATACAGAGACAGGAACATGCTGGAGTCAATAAGTACAGGATGTGTCTGCCTATACACGCACAGTCAGTAATCATGACCTTCACCATTAACACACACCGTAACTGCCAGTATCTACCAAACCTGCTGTTATTTAGATGAATTAAGTTTGGGAACTCTAAGATAATTGTCCTCCATATTAACAGTGTGTGTAGTATTTCATGGCTGAATTTATTTAGCATCAGATCCCATCCAGAGGGTCCTGTAATGCGTATCGATATTACATTGTACTTAAAAGCCTCAAACAAGTCCACTCCAAAACCATAAGCTGTTTCTGTCTATATTATCCAGGTCACCAAACAAATTTCAGAGTTGCACGGAAAAGCCCAGAGAGTGAAGGCCACCATAGTCATGCTCACCCAGAGAAACTATTGAGAAATCAATTAAAGAGAATTTACATCATACTTGGTGTTCTGCAACAACTACCCACATGCCTGCCAAAATCCATGTCGTATGCATCTCGGAGCTAGTACACGTGCACAGAGCTATTCTACATCACTGCTTTTGTGACTAAGAGTCTTCTTGCACAGGCACATGGCACAGTTGTTCAGATTTCCAGAAAGCCAGTCTGTTACTACTTAATTGATAGTTATTGCATCAACATTTTTACCCAGTATCACATCTTTGCCATTTACACGTCATCCACTGGAGATAAACTGGCACAGAGTGGCCCAGAAAAGAACCTAGTACTAAGACACGCTGTAGCATCTTTTTTCTAAGCAAATCTCTTGTTCCAGGCAAGTCCTGTAAGTTCTGAGTAATTTTGTCATACAGAATGCCACCTTTTGACCACCTTTCGTACAAAAACTGAATTCTCACACAGGCTGTGAGAATACCTACCGAGTGAGGCTTCTGGGCAAGGCTGGATGAAGAACATCTACCTTAGGAGCTGTACAGTCTCATCCGGAAGGAGGACTTACATAAACCTAAGACAGACAGATAGGTTGTACATGTCTCCAGGATTAGATATCAACAGCACAGCGAGTTTGAGACGCATGATCTCGGAGGTAAGCATCTACAATTACAGCTGCACTTACCTACATAGGCAGACCTGAGTGTCTCTGCCCCGCCCTGGCTGGAAGAGCATCTCGCCTCTGTGGAGGGCTTGTGGATGATCTGCCCAAAAGCGGTTCTGACCTCTGGCAGGGGACTGACCTACATCCATCTGCTCCCACTCTTGCAGATAGACCCTGTGTTCCTTCACGGCTTTCATGCGTCCTCATTCAAGACTCTACTGTGACAATGACACGTCTCTTTCCAAACAAAGCAAGGAAACTGAAATTGTTGTGGTTTTTTTCTTTTCTCTCTGGCACAAAACCTGATTGGGAATTCATAATTCAGGACAAGGCCACACTCTGAAACATAACAATCTTTTCAAGAGACAATAACTTTTGCAGACTGCAAAATTTTGTTTTGAAAAAATGTTTTGGAGGAAAAAAAATAAGCCAGTAATTAATTTCTTGATAAGAACATTAAAATGCATCATGTCAGTCGGGAGGAGAAAAGGACCAGGTTTTACTTTTTTTCAGCATATTCTGACTCAGTGAGACACCACCCTGTATCTTAGATGAAGCTACTTTTCAGGAACATCAGGTACTTTCAGAAATGGGAAGAGAAACCAAAAGCAAAACCAAGGGGTTTTTTTGTAGGGCGAGTTTGCAATGGAGACTCTCTTCCCTCCACTGCCTTGAGGGGTTTGGTTTGCTCAGATATTCAATTTCCTGATTAACTTTGTGTCATTCCTTATTCCAGGTAACAGTAGTAAGCTAACACGTTTTTTGGTGGGGTTGTTTCTTTTTTTTTCCCTCTGTGAAAGCAATCTTGATATCTTTTGCAAAAGACAAGAAACACCTGTGAAATAATACCACTTGGGTGGTGGCAATCTTTGCTTTCACTCCTAGCTTGGGGTTGCATTTTATAGGTAAACAATTAAAAAAAAAGACAGATTCCATGTTAATTATAATAAGGTGTAAAATTAGGTTCTGTAATAAGCACTGTGAACCTTCTCATCTAAAACTCCCCACAAAACTTGCATTGAGACACTGAACTATATTATATAAATCTTTTGTACTCCTGTGGAAGCTCTAAAATCCCTACA